CTTTGTAGTGGAGGGTGGCCTTAAACTCGAGATGATCTTTGTGCCTCAGCCTCCCCAGTGCTGGGATTACACACCGGAGTCACCACACCCAGTCTGAGTCTTTGTAAATTGATTATAATATTAGTTCTATGATGAGTCCTTGCAAACTTGTTAAGTTTGTTTCATAAGTTGTAAAAGCAATATAATTGCCTTGTCTCTTAAAGACTATAGCAAATTAAATATCTTCCCTTTTTAGATGTCATTGCCAAATCTGTTTTCCAAGTCACTTTGTAAATCTTCTATGCAGTACTTATCTCACTGAAGTGTAACAATTATTTATCTCTGTCCACTAGTTGGTGAACTTCCCAAGACTAGATGTTATACATTTTTGTTTTCACACATTCACTTATTCTTCATCAGTGTTTTCAGAGAAACTGACTACAATATGGAGATCAATTAGTTTCAGAATCTCGCCCTCCTTATAGAAACTTTTCTAAATCCCAGATGTTTTGTTCTGATTGTTAAACCAATCCTACCTCCAACCCCTCTAATCACAAACCTTTCCTTTTCTATAAATCACAAGTCTTTCTTTCTTCCTCTTTCTTTTCTTCTTTCTTTTCTTTTCTTTCTTTCTTTTTTTTTTTTGGTGACTGCATAGTTCAGGCTGGTATTGAACTCACTATGTCACCCAGGCTGGCTACAAACTCACTATAATCTTCCTGCATCAGTTTTCCAAGTGCTGGGATGACAGGTATGTGAAACTCATGTTTTCTTGAAAGGACTGAACATTTTGTACCTGGGCTACATCCCAAGTTCAATACCAGCCTGAAGTAGAGAGTAAGACCCGGGTCTCAAAAAAGAAAGAACTTCACAATTAAGGAGAACTATTTGTTTTTATAAATGTGAAGTGTAGGGGCCAGGGAGATGGCTCAGCGGAATAAGTGCTTCCATGTCAAGCAGAAGGGCCTGAGTTCAATCCCCAGTTCTGAAAAAAAAAAAAAAAAGAAAAAGAAAAAAGATATTAAAAAAAGTGAAGTCTGATTAAAATATCCAGGTTTCTTTGTTTTGTTTTTGGTTTTTTGTGCCATGAATTGAATGCAGGACCTTATGCTTGCCAGGCAGGTACTGTGCTGCTGAGCTATATCCTCAGGCTAAAATATCCTTTATTATATAGCACTTCTCAACATCATCAATTCACCTAATTAACTACTTTTTTTAATACCATTAAATTATGAGGGCCTTCAAACTATGTTTAAATTCTTTCATTGGTTAGGAATTAACAAAGCAGCCTAAACTTCCTTAAGTTTTCATTTTAGGAAGGTTAAGAAACATAATGGAAAAAATACCTGTTGGAAAAAATCCCTTACTGACTAAACCATTTTGAAACTATCGTTTTCTCTCATTTGTATTTTAATTTTTTTGTTTTTAATTTTTAAATTTTTTGCTTATATTCTTTATACAGCATGGAATTCATCAGCCACCAGAAATGAAAGCATTTGAAAGCAAATTTTAAAATCCTGCTAACTATTGAATTTGACCAGCATTCATTGCGACACTATTATGCAGTTATCATCCTACACCAAGAAGAGTATCTAATAGGGTTTCTGCAAAGAAACTGAAAAGAAAGCAAATTAAAATAAAGTGCTAACGAGAGACATGAAGACATCTGTGGGGGACAAAATCTTTGTTGGGAGACCCTTGCGGAGAGAACTGGTGGACTGACACATGAAGGCACTTCAGATAGGGAAGATACCTTGAGGCCATGGCTTTGGAGGTGAGTGCTTAGGAATTTATAGTTTAGGGAGTGAGATTGGTTTAATTATTATTATTTAAAATTTTATTTATTTGTGTGGCCAGCTCAGCCCACCAGGGGGCGGGGCTGGCTGGCATGTGGTGCTGGGGGATTGAACCACGGTCCCTGTGCTTTAGCTAAGCTTGTTCTAAGTAGGTGCTTTAGACCACTGAGCCATCTCACCAGCCCTGGTTTAATTATTGAAACAACGTAATGGGAGTTTACTGTGGTCGGATGAGGGGACTTCTGGGATACCCACATCAGCAACTTGATAGGAAGAATCTGTTTTCCAAGAGTGGCAGTGAGGAGTTTCTTCTGAGCAAACCAAGAAAGACTACATGGGGTTCAAAATGGGAAGGTCTTGAAAACAAGTAACAGCTGTTTCGTGAAAATGAACGTTTCATTATAGGAAGGTTAAAAAAAATAACAAGGAAAAATACCCGTTGGGAGAAATCGAACATGATTATTTCAAAAGATGACTATATGAACCGGGGTAATTATTGTATCTCATTTGAATATGGCAGAACATCAGTGAAACAGCCATCAATGTATTTGGTACAGGGTGTCACTAAGCGGTTCGGCCTCGTAGGGCTCCTCCTGTTTTCAGCCTCCCCAGTGCTGGGTTACAGGCGGGCGCCACCGGGTCTGGTCTGGGTGGTTGCTCAGTGCGCCAGGCTGGCACAGTACGTGGCGCAGGGCTTAGTCCGCCGAGCCACGTGGCCAGCCCAAAGCAGCCTTCTAGACTAAATATTTTTAACATATTAAACTGAGACATGGAGTAGTTTTATATTAATCAGGAGACTTGTTTCGAGCAAGCGTGGGGCAAAGTTCTTTAGAGGCCTAAAAGTCTAAAACCTAGCGCTGGATATGGTGGAAAGTACCCCCGGCCCATTCCTAGCACTGTGGAGGCTGAGGCAGGAGGATCACAGAGAGTTTGAGGCCAACGTGGGCCACAAAGTGAGTCACGGCCCTCCTGAACTGCAGAGTGAGACCCTATCTCAAAAAGAACACTCACACAACAAAAGAAAAAAAAAAAAACCATCTACCTAAAGGGCGCCCTCAACAGTAAAATGGAGATAACAGTAATTTTGTGTAGGGATGTTTTAAGATTAATTCACGGAAAATCCTTAGTACACTGTAGTGCCAAACACAGCGGTGCTAATATCGCCACAGTCCCCCCCCCCTCACCGGCCACCACGTTTTCAGCTGGGTTGGTAAACGCTTCCGTATAGTGTACACAGATTTGCTTTTATTCAGATTTGTATATGGAACTACTAAAACGGCGGAATCATTATGGCTGTGGTGGCCCCCAGTTTGTAAAATGATAAAACGCGCACGATGTTTTACACAGCCCCGTGCTGCAGAATGGTATCTCCTGAGCGTCTCCTCCCACTTCTGGCTCACAATGGTACGCTCCACGCCGGCCCTGGACTAGGCGGCGGCAAGGTGGAGCGCGGGGGAAGGGAGGGCGGATTTTTTCCTTCTCCCGGAAGCGATTTTTCTCCAGTCCCGGAAGCAGTTGCTGTTTCTAGGGAGGCGGGCCGGGGCGGGCCGGGCTGCCGCCGCTGACGGCGGGGGAGGAGCCGCATCCACTGCCGGGTGGAGGGCCAGGCGAGTGTCCTTATCCTAGCGAGTGGAGCTCGGGCCTGCGAGCCAGTTGCAGCGGCGGCGGCGGGAACGACTGGTCCGGGCGGAAGAAATCATGTTGCTCTTCGTAGAGGTAAGTGGGTTTGGCACTGTGGCCCTGCTCTCTGGGAGAGATGGGGTGTGGAGGCGCCGGCCGGTCCCACCGCCATGTGACTTTCCAGGCCCTACACGCCGCGGAACCGGCAGATAGGCTGACACAGCACCTGGGCCATGCAGGCCTCCAGCTCCGCTCGGCGCGCTCCCGACACTTTGGAAAGCTGTGGGGGTGCAGGCCGAGGCGCAGGAGCCCGGAAGGTGGGGTCTCAGGGCTGGACGGCCGCGGCGAGGGATCCCAGGCGGGGGAAGTGTCCCATATGGAGCTCCTGGGGGGGTGCGGGGGCGGAGTCCCTGGGGAGAGGGGGATCAGGTGGGCGCTGCTGGGGTGAAGCGCGGCCCGGGGGCCCGTGCAAGCGCCGAGCAACATGTGGGGCCGCGGAGGAGTCGGCGAAATGTGGCTTACGTGCCCTTTTTGTTTGTTTTAAGTGTTTTTGTAAAGAAAGTGGAAATCTTTTTTTGCAACCACCCCCAGATTTTGTTCGGCCCTTGTCCGAGGATCTCTGGAACGTTCTGTGGGTGAGAGTGAGTTACTGTGAACGCAGGAGAAGCCAGTAGGGGTTGGAGCCTTGAAAGGCACCGCTTTGACCTTTTGTAAAAGTTACTTGGGCAGCGGCTGCGTGATGCGGGCTGCTTCTGCGAACCGACTAAAGGCTCTTTAGAAGGAAAATTCCAGGAATGAGAGAGGTAGTCCGCAGAAGCCGTTTTCTTTTTCTCTTCTTTCCTTTTTTTTTTGTTTTGTTTTTGGTATTGTTATTTGAACAACAGAAATACTTTTAATACTTTTAGCTGCAACGTCTGCCGTTGGCCAATTTTAGGTTTCAAGGTGGTGATAGCTGCCTTACACAGAAACCAAGCTTAATTTCTCTTATTTCTGTCCATCTGTTGTGTGCAGTGAGCGTCAGCTGACTGCCTGATTAACGCTTTGAGTAGTTTCCAGATCATATTGTTCTTACATTGTGAAAACGTGAAGCCAGCAAAATTGCAACTTTGTGACTTGACGTTTGCTAGCTGTCGGTAAAAAGAATCTTTTCAATGAGGGAAGAAATTGACAGGTTACATAGTGTATCTGGGAATTGCGGTCAGCGTGTGGCGGGTGTTTTTCAGTAGCGATGCGATATAGGCATAAAGTAAATAAATGATTTAGCTTTTTTTTTTGTATTTTTGGATGGAGGAGTATCAGACGGCCTTACGATGTAGTTCAGGCAGACTTGAACTCAATAGCTCAGTAGGATAAGCACTTGCCTGGCAAGTGCAGAGTCCTGAGTTCAATTCCCGGTACCACAAAAAAAGAAAAAGAACCACTATGTAGACTAGGCTGCCCTTCTACCTCGGCCTCCCGAACGTTGAGATTACAATGGCGCACTACCACGCCTGGCTCAACTTTTTTTTTTTTTTAAGCCTTAATCTGATACTTTGTAGTTTACAAACTGAGATCTTTAGGTTTTTAAAAGACATTGTTACCTTATAGTATGTCCAACATTAGTAAGTATTCATTGAAATATTCTAAGCAAATCATTAAAAGGTTTTAAATTACCTAACTCACCGGGCATGGTGGTGCACACCTGCAATCCTGGCACTTGGGAGGAGGCTGAGGCAGGAGGATGGCGTTGAATTGGTGACCAGCCTGGGCTACAGAATTCAAGGCCAGCCTGAACTACATAGTGAGACCCTATTTCAAATAATAAAACAAAGCCAAAAATTTGCCTCATTCTTTCTGTTCATTATTTTTAAAATCCACATCATTGTTTTCCTTTGGCAGAATTAAGAAATCAGATTTGAAAAAAGAAAAATCAGATTTGATTTTCAAGCGAGGCTGCTTTGAGTTAGGATTTTTTTTTTTTTTTTTTTTTTTTTTTTTAATGTATTTGGTACAGGGTCTCACTATGCTGCTTGGACTTGTAGTGATCCTTCTGTTTTCAGCCTCCCCAGCGCTGGGATTACATGTGAGTGCCACCACACCAGGTCTCAGTGACCCGCCCAGTGTCTGGGGCTGGGGCTGGTGTGGCCTGTGGTGTGGGGGATCCAGCCCCACTACTAACCATTGGGTTAGGAATGTTGTGTCATGCAAATACTGCAGATTTTAAGTTGTGTTTTGCAAGGCAGAAACCTAAAGTTTCACTTATGTCAATGTGCTTTCCGACCAAAATAAATTTTGAGTCTCATTTTGATTTCTTGGGCTTTAATAATATTAGAATTGGGGCTGGAGAGATGGCTCAGTGGAATAAGTTCTTCCCTGACAAGCGCAAGGGCCTGAGTTCAATCCCTGGTTCTGCAAAAAAAAAAAAAAAAAAAATAATAATAATAATAATAATAATAATAGAATTTAGTAATAGGTGCATTCATTGAGTGTTTAAGCCACATCCGGTCCCCAGGTCGACATTGCATTGTTTTACAGATGAGAAAATTGAAGTCAAAAGGTTAAGTGACAATATAAATCAGTAGGACTGGGATTTAGATCATTTTGATGCCAAATGACGGTTTACTCCCCACTTGGGACAAACTGCCATGTTTTTCACTAAACTTTTTTCTGTGCATGCCAGAGGTTGAACTCAAAACCTTGCACTTGCATGGGAGGCACTTAAGCCACTGAACTGTCTCTCCAGCCCTCTCAAACTTTTATGCAAAATTGTTATTCTTATTAATCATTTGTGAATTAGCATGTCATTCTTTTTTGTCATGGGTTTTATTAAACATAAACTGTCATTAAATATTGGAGGCTAGGGGGCCTGGCCCTAGCTCAGGCCTTTAAGTGGCTGCTTCCACAAAGCTGTTAGCCTCAGGTTGCTGGAGTTCGAACCTCACACCTCTCCCGCTGGCCAAAAGTG